CAGTCGTTAAGCGTCTGCCTTCGGCTCGGGTCATGATCCCAGGGTCCTGGGATCGAGCCCCGCATCGGGCTCCCTGCTCCGTGGGGAGCCTGCTTCTCCCTCTCCCACTCCCCCTGCTTGTGTTCCCTCCCTTGCTGTGTCTCTCTCTGTCAAATAAATTTAAAAAATCTTAAAAAAATAAAAGTATTAAGATAGATACACAAGAAACTTTTAACATCGGTTGTTTCTGGAGAGGGGTCCTAAGTGGCTGAAGACCTGGGTACAAGGAAGATCTCTGTTTTTAAAAACAGACATATATGCTTACATATACATAAAAAATTTCTGAAAGAATATGAAAGAAACAGCAGTGGTTACTTTAAGGGACTCTTGGGGGCAGTGGTGAGGAACTTTTCTTTCTATATTACTCTCCTGCACTATCCTTTTTAATTTTCTGCCATTATTATGTATTGACTCAATAATTTTTTCAAGGTAAAGAAATGGTAAGAGACAGATGAACCTGGTTATTAAATGCAAGGTCTCATAGTCCCATCAGTATAGAAGCTTCTTTGATTCTACGGTGTCTACCATTCTCTCCTCATGGAAAAAGCTTATTTCCTCAGATTTCTTATATGGCCAAACCAACATGCCAGACTTAACCTAAAGAACCAGTTATTGACCATTCCTCATTCTGTAATGACCAGCCTCCCTCAATAAATGAGTTGAACTTATGCCCAGCAATCTTTATAAAGGGAGCAACAATGTTTGATTACAGTTTTCCAAAATGCCCCAAGAGGTCCTTTATCCCCATCTCAACTCATAAGAGTTGTTTAAAATCATCTTGGTATGGGACGCCTGGGTGGCTCAGTTGTTAAGTGTCTGCCTTCGGCTCAGGTCATGATCCCAAGGTCCTGGGATCGAGTCCCACATCGGGATCCTTGCTCAGTGAGGAGCCTGCTTCTCCCTCTCCCTCTGCTGCTCCCCCTGCTTGCGCTCTCTCTGTCTCTCTCTGACAAATAAATAAATAAAAATCTTTTTTAAAAAAATAAATAAAAAATAAAATCCACTTGGTGTTAGGACACAATATCCTGCTTATCCAGTTATTCATTCATCTTGGATAAACAAGAGAAGTAGTGCCTCAGCATTAAGCCAGGTTTTAAATTCCCTGAGAATCTTAACCCTCAAATACTATTCCAAACGTATTTAAAAGACAGAACAAAAATGCTGAGAAGGAATATAAAGATATCCTTTCCAGCACTGAAACAGAAATCTGACAGAACACCTTAGGGCCCTATTTAAAAAGAGGCGTGCGCTGAACTGATGCATATTTGTCAGTAACTGGTTTTAAACATAAAGGTGTCCACAAAGATCCCAGGCAAACCTTCGTCCTCTTGCTCTTCACTGTTGGTATCACTCTGAGCCGGCTCCTCTCCGCCATCGACACTCTCTGTTCCCTCCAGGATGCTGTCGCCGTCAGAGCGCTCCTCCTCACTGCCCTCTGCAGCTGCGGCCCTCCAGACTCTTCTGCAACGGCACAGGTCAGAACCGGGGGTCTGGGCTGTCAGAGGGGTCTCTCCACGGTCATTACACACGTCGCCTCTGCCGTGATGGGGGCAGGGAAGACATCACTGTTCCTCCCAGACACAAGCCTAGCTCTGCGTCTGTTGTCTCGGAACAAGATGAGCTGCTTACCTCTTTTGAATCTGCGCAGGCTTGGTCACCCTTGATTTTTTATTCTCTTCCCCCTCCTCCTCTTCCTCTTCTTCCTCCTCTGTGGCATCCGCTTCTTCCCTGCCATTCTCTTTATCTAATTCCTGATGTTTAGGTTCAGGCCCCTTCTCCTCACCTACACACAGAGGCAAAGAAAAGAATTCATTTAGAATCCAAGATTAACTTGGACAAGATTAACCAAGACCCCAAGTTCCTAGTTCGTTGGGACTATAACTATTTTTCTCAGTATTTTTCTTACTGCATGTAAGAGAAAGTATGAGGGGAAAAAAGCAAAAACAACAAAAAGCCCTCATCACTGAGGTTCCCTGGAGGCCTGTCCCATTCACCGGAATGAGAGAGGGAGCAGCCGAGCCTCTGCAAATGGCCTGCCACTGCATACCACAGCCTGCACAGTGTTCACTTTGGGGCCCAGCCATGAACTTTCATCCCGGTGAGTTCTGTTCCCGGAGCTCCTGGTGGCTTAAAAGCCACCTGCTTTCTAAAAAAAACCTCAAGTTTTAAGTTTCCCTATTCTTCATAGTCCATCATTTTATGAAAAGTGGGAAAGAACAGCCAGCAGAGGGGACCACGAACTCAGGTCCCACTCCTCATTCACATTCACACCCAGGAGTGGGCTCAGACTCAAAAGACCCCATGCTTTGAGACCAGATCACCAGATGGTACAACATGAATCAACAAACAGCTCTGTGCTCACTTCTGAGCCCACAGGAATTCAGAGTTTCTCTTAATCCTCGGTCTTATTCTTTCTGTTAATCTTGTGCTTTTGGTATCTTTAACCCAATATTCTTACCGACAAGCAGGTTCCCTTATAATTTTACCATAGGCAGAGCTGTTTCCATACGCACCCCAGGACATACAACCCCTCCTACCCAATATCACCACATCTTACCTGGGGCAGAGGCAGACTGTGTATTTTTATATTTATCCTTTGCCACGGCCCAATCCACAGCTACTGTCCGCCCTGTCAGATAGAAAAGTAGCATCAGAAAGGTCTTCCTTTTTTTTTTTTTTTTAAGATTTT